TTTGAATGCTATTTTTTTTCTTTCGTCAGTTCAAATTTCGATTTCTCTCAGCTAAATAGTTGAGAAAGGAGAAATAAAGAAAATGATGGTTTGATTTCCGGTCATGGTTATATAACGCAATAGCGACCAATAAGCAATAGGGACAGTTTAAATTAAATTTTTAATTATTTTAAATCCAACTTTCTTCACGGATTGGATCGGACGCGTTTGGATTGCAGGTTAAGTTATAGGAAAAATCAAAAATTGACGTGAATTCAAGTTTTTTATTTTAATTGAATTATTTATAATTGAATTTTATTGATTCAACTACCTTTTTTAATCCATATAATGCACAAAATTTTTTAGTAAATTTTTTATAATTTTAAATTTATTTTTTAATTAATTTCAATTTTTGATATTATTTTAATAAAAAAATTATACTTTTTGTTGATCTAATATAATTATACATTCATAAATGTTAAATTATAATTAAATGATAATATGTATATAATATATTATAAATAATACTATTTATCTAAAATAAGTCTAAACTTTTGTAAATTTTTTAGAATTATAAAAATTATTTCTTTTTCATTAAAATATTTTCTTCCAATCATTTGGTAAACACTAAAAATTTTGCTATCACTTTTTTCTTGTTTGATAAAAGATCAAGATTAAATCTTTAAATAGTTAAGAATTAAGATTAATAATTACTTTTATGATAATATTGATAAGGATATATATATATATGTCATTTCATTAAATTGTGAGAGACATTTTATATTAGAAAAATATTTCAAAACTATTTAATCGTAATATTTTTTATAAATTTTAATATATATTTTATTGAACAACAAATCACAATTATTAATTTGACCATTACCATTTACTTTTTATTAGTTTTTATTTTTTACATATTAGAAATAATTATTACACAAATATAATGGCCTAATAATTATTTATATGTCAATAAAATAAAGTTATTTTTTAGATAAAAAAATAAAAAAAATTATGTTATGCTTAAAACCGTTTTTTTTAAATATTATTTATTTATAATTGTTTTTACATAATTGATAAAGCATTTTTTTGTGGATCAAATATGGTTGATCATTCTTCTCCTACTTTCCATTGTAACAAAAAAAAATCAATAATAAACAAATACTACAAAATGAAATGAAGTATATAAATTTACATATTAATTTATAAAAATTAAAAATATATAATAATAAAAAACAAATATGTTAATGAATTAACAAATCATAAAAACATTGAAGAAATGAACAAAACCAAAAAAAAAAAAAAAAGTTAATTATAATTAATCTAAACAAATTTAAAAAAGGTAATAGAGTAAAGAAAAACAAATAAATTAATTAAATATATAATATAAAAATATTTGAATTATAATATAAATAAAACATTATATTTGTTCAAAAAATAAAAACATACTTTTATCTAACTTTCTTAGTAATGTTCAAATACCTCATTTTTTATATAAAAATGTAAGTTTTTATTATTTTAATAATATATGTTTTATAGACAACAATTCATAAATTTAAAGTCAACCATCATATAAGTTCAAATAAGTCTTAGTTTCTGACCAATTTAAATTTCAGTTTATTTTCTTTTACTTGATTATTAATTTTAATATAAAACCATATATTAAAGAGTAATAAAGATAAAAAAATGGGCTTACTTGTTCACGAGTGTAACGTGACTTTCAATTCTTTATAATTTTTGTCAATTTCTATCATAACCAATAAATCATAATCATCAAATAAAAAAATTTATAATCTTTAATTTTTAATTCTAATAATAACAAATAAAATGATATTGGTTTAAATGGGATGGTCTCCTTTATACTTTTTATTTTCATTCTCAAATTTTAAATAGATAATAATTTATTAAGTACAAATATACGCTCATATATATATATATTTAGAACTATGATTAAATTAAAAATATAATAAATTAACATTTAATATATTTAAATTTTAAATTTATGTTATATTTTCAATATTTGATAGATTTTGATTCGAATTTAAATAATTATTCAAAAACATTAAATTTAAATAATTTATTAAATAAAATTATTTGATAAAAAATAAAATTTTATTAAATATATGTATTTGAAATTATCATTAAATTTAAAAAGACAAGATAAATTATGATTTAATAGATTTGAATTTAAAATTTATGCAAAATTTTCAGTTTCAAATAGATTTTGATTTAAATTTAAATAATTATCCAAAATATTAAATTTAAATAATTTATTAAAGAAATTTATTTCATAAATAAAATAATATAAACATTATTCTATATATCATTAAAGGAGACTATTCACTTAAGCATTTATAGAAGCAATTTTTATTATATAATTTTGTATATTGTAATATAATATAGATATTATATTTAATTAATTAAATTTTTAGATTAATTTTTTATTTTATAAAAATTTAAAAATTATATCAAGCTTAATAAAAATATAATTTTATTATATTTAAATTTTTTATTTTTATTTTATAATTCAAATATTTAATATTCAATGAATTAAATGAAATAAAAGCGAATTGAATAAAATACTATAATTTTAAAACGATATTTAATTTTACCTAATTTTTTCCACGGGGAAGCGGTGCGGTGAACATTAACTCGGTTGGGTTGTCAGAGAAATTTTTTTTTAATGTTTTTCACAATATCATAGCAAATCAAATTTTCTTATGTATCTCTAATGAAGTGGATATTCGTGTATTCAATATTTCAGTTTTGTATCTTCTCTTTCCTCGGACGCTTGGAATCAATTAGTTGCCCAATGTTTTAATTTCCATTTTGCAATGATGGTTGCATCAAATTTTCAATATTATCTTTTGACACCTTGAATTTGTGTGTTTTGGCGGTGCCGATGTGATCGATTCAAAGTTGAAATACTTTTCAATTTCCATAATGAATGGACGGAAATGGAAATTCAAAGTCTGGGAAATATCCAGGCTGCTGATGATATAATATTCCATTACGAATGACATGGTCAACTGCAGGAGATACCAGCAACTTCTAAGATCCACTCCTTTGCATTTTCTAGTTTTTTTGCTTTAATGCAAGGCCGATGACAATAAGGTCACGATTGAGAGAATATCTCGATGGTAATAGATTTTGTAACTAAGTATTCATAATGAGATTAATTTTAATGAAATTAAAAATAATAATCAAAATAAGATTTATTATTATATTAATAAGATTAAAATTAATAATAAATATATGTTTGAATGTAAAATTAATGATAGTGATAAAATGTATTATAATAAAAAAAATTGATTATTAAAAATATTTGATTAAAATTTATATATAATAAAAATTTTAAATTATTTAATATTTATAAAATCCATAAATAATTAAAGAATTATTAAATTATTTTATGATAAATAATAAAAAATTAATAATAATATATCAAATAATAGATTTCCTCCTCTTTTCTCCTTGTAAAGGCTATGTCTTTCTCTGAACCAAAAAAATATTTTTATTATATTAAATTAAAAAATTATTTCAAAATTATAAATAAAAAATAATTAAATGATAGGATATTTTTGTATTTATAACTAGTTTTTTACCTATGTAAATGCAGGGGATTTTTAGATTTACAATAATATTTAATTTAAATCATTAAAAATCTACATAAAATTTTTGTAGATTCAAAATTTTATTTTTATTACTAAATATTTGTATCTTATCTCTTTTTTTAATTTTTAATTTAATTTATATATTTAATGTTAAAATCTTTGATTTGATTTTTAATTTCATAAATTGAAATTTCAAAATAAAAAATAAAAAATATAATTTATCAACAAAAATTTCAAATAACTTTTTGACCTCCATCTTAATTTAGAAAAGTATATTAGTAAATATTTAAAACAATGAAATTTTTAATTAAATTCATTTCATAAATTTAATTACTTAATTAGTAAAAAGAAATTTTGTTGCTATATTTATTAAAAAAAATTTACATAAAATCCAAATGTAATAAGTATTTATAAATCCTAGGAAATTATAAGAAAATCTGATAATTAAAATAAATGTAATTGAAATTTAATATAAAACCAATCAAAAGAATAGAAAAATTTTAAATTGAAAACAAAAATGTGATTTATAAAGTCGAATAAAAAAAGTTTGTTAGATTCTAAACCATTTTTCAATCCCCTAAATGTTTATCTTTTCTAAACATACAGGCACCCATAATCAAAAAGTTTCATTCATTATTAAAAAAAAAAATGATTAAAAAACTTCAATTTAAAATTTTTATTACCACAATAGAAAAAAAAATAAGAGTAGCAGCAGTAGAACTAATATATATTAACAAAAAATTACAAGAAAATCAAGAAATGAACATTTTTTAAAATAAATCACATACTCAAGGAAACAAAAAAGAAATGCTTATTTTTTTGAAAAGATCCATTATTTATTCTTATTGATCATATAAATTATTATAAAAAGAAAATAAGAATATGAAAATTTAAGGGAGGAAATAGAGTTTTAAAAAAAAATGTGAATGAAAAAAAATATTTTTAGACGAAGAATTTGAAGAAATCTGAAATGAAAGAAACAAAGAAAAGAGTTTATAGTTGGAAGTTTTAAACCCTCAAAGAATGGGCCGCGAAACATTACCTTAAAATTACAGCTCATCCACACAGTTTTTCAATACTAATTACTTAATATTTGCAAGTTTTGATTGAACGGACACACACACAAAGTATCACTTTAATTCGTAACTCATCTTCACAAAGAGTTTCCTCAAAAATGAATGGAGATAAATTGCAGAAGTGATACAATCACAGAGGGCAGCTGCCACAAGTTAGTAATAATTAAAAGAAAAATATGATTTTTTTAAAAAAATTATAACATTTAGGTTTTGTTTGAAAGTGTTGTAAAAGTCCTTCCACAGTACTAAGTCTGCAAGGACCCATATTTTAGATGACACGATCCGTCTTCCTCACCTGACAAAAAAGGAAAATCCTTTGTTTCTTCCTCTCTGATTGTTGAACCATGAAGAGCAGGAATGAAAAGAAGAGAGGGTCATCGGTCCCAAAAGGAGGCCACATGGGCAAGAAATTTTCGATCAACAATGACCCGTTTTTCGAAACGGAGAGCAAGAAGCGGCGAAAAATGGAGTACGAGGACGATGACATTGAGTCAGGGGACTTTGAAGAGATGGCTGAGATTCTGGGTGGTTCTGACCCAAGCGGGGGAGAGGAGAAGCATGAAGATGAGGATGAGGAGACCCCTGGTGAGATTCGAAAATGGGTGGCGACAGAGCTTTTGGATAAGATGCGGGCAATAGCAAGGAAGGAGAAAGAAGATGAGGAAGAGGAGGAGCCGAGGGATTAGCTTGTGGTCAAGATTTTGTAACAGGAGCAGCTTGAGGAGAGTGGCAGGGTCATGAGAGTCATTGCTTCCAGGTAAAAGAATCATTGTTTTTACTCATAAGAATGCCCTTTTACCAGTCCGGTGTTGGAAACATTCCCTTTGATATTGAGAGATTCCGGCGCCAAGTCAGGCTTAAAAAACCAGAAACTGCTGATAGATTTAAAGCATTAGTGAAGCATCGGCTATCTGTTACTGCTTTAGCTCTCTCTGATGATGACTTGAAAGGCTTTTCAGCATCCAAAGATGGTACTGTTTTACAGTGGGATGTAGAAAGTGGGAAAACTGAAAAATTCCAATGGCCTAGTGAAAATATTCTTAAAAATCACGGGTGGAAGGACCTGCGAGGTCGACTTAAAAAGCATAGTAAAAGTGTTTTAGCATTGGCTGTTTGTTCTGATGGCCGGTATTTGGCAAGTGGTGGCTTAGACCGCCATGTTCATTTGTGGGACATTCGTACAAGGGGGCATTTACAAGCATTTCTTTGGTCTCCTCGTAGTCTATTTGACAACTTAACCTATTCTAAATTTTCAATTTCACGAATAATAAAGTATATACAGTTTTTCTCAATTTGGCATTTAATTTGTGCTCAACAGGCATTTCCGGGTCATCAAACATATTTGTCATGTTTAAGTTTTAGGCAAGGGACCACAGATCTTTTTTCTGGATCATTTGATTGGACAGTCAAGTATTGGAACATGGAGGACAGAGCTTACATTGACACAATATGTGGTCATAAAAGTGAAGTATTGACACTTGATTGCCTAAGAAAAGAATGAGTTTGGATTGTTGGATGTGATCGGTGTATGATGTCGTTCAAGGTAAACATGATGTAGAAGTTTTAGTTCATCATCTAAATAGACAGTACTGGATAAAAAGTAAAACATGTGATGCGGAGTCATTTTTAAAGAGTAAATCATGCTTGCATTTCCATTACAATCAAAATTGGTGGATATCTTTTAATTGGCACATCCTGCTGCCCCTCCATCCCCTATGTTCTAAGCAATGTGTTATACTACTAGTAGCATTTTTGGCATTTAAATGTAAGCTAGATGGTTACCAGGATATTGCTTTTCTTCTCCGTAACTGATAGTCATCCGCTCTGCACCATGCTAAATAGGTTCTCGACCAGTCACGATTGGTATTTTGTTCTCCACCATCATCTTTGGAATGCTGCTGCTTTATTAACAATGATAAATTCTTATCTGGCTCCGACGATGGAAGCATTCAACTTTGGAGCGTATTAAGAAAGAAACCTGCATACATTGTGAATAATGCTCATGCTCTGCTACCTGCCAGCCAGAACGTTGAACAAAAAGGCAACGAAAAAATCCCTGATTTCCATTTAGGTAAATCACTAATATTTCAATTAACCATGCTTTTCCCTCTTCTGATATTAGAAGCAGGAGGATTGGCCACTGGGAATTTCAGTGGCATTCTTTTAAATCCTTGCTTATTTGTGCATAAAATATATTTGTGTTAGCTTTTAATCTGACAATAGTTCATGTTGAATTGATTAAATTTTTCTAACCCTGATTTTTTTTTTGTTAATTGTCATTGATACTGTCAATTGGTTTCTTAAAGTGGCTTTACTTATGCACACAAGTTATATATTATTTCTTGCAATCCGATGCCCAATAAATCCAAGAGGTCTCCATGAGTTGGCTGCTGGGAATATCGGTGATAATCTTTACCGTTCACGCTTTCTTTTAATCTGACCAGTGATGTTGTGGACATACTCATATTATAATAATATGATTGATTAAAATTTTTCAATTCTAATTTTTTTGTGTGTGATTGGCAGTGATTCTGTCCATTGGTTTTGTATGACACTCTTGCTGATTTTTTTTTTGCAATCTGATCTGTGGTAATATTGAGAGAGTGTGCATTGGCTGGCCAGGCCTAAAATTTTCAAAGCTAAGCCCAAAACCAGCCTGCCCATACACTTACTTCATTACTTTTAAATGATTTTTAATTTTTTTTGTATATATTAGAATTAGATTTAAATAAAATATATGATTTTTTTTTTTTTTTTATAAACTCCTTAAGTGGGCTGGATAGCACAGCCCTTGGACACCTCTTCTGTTAAGTTTTTGTTCCGTCAAGGTGCCTTCAGTTACGATCAGTTACGAGCCGTTGCAAATTCAATAATTTTTAGAAGACAAGCTTAATTCATGAATAAAAAGGCAATTAATTACATGGACAAGGAATTTGCTACCCACTAATCACAATTATGAACCCAGAAAAAAATATATGGTTGCACAGTTGGAGGTTTACGGAAACAAACGAACTTTAACTGAATACATTAATTAGGTAAAAGTTATTTAAGATTTTCAATATTTTTTATTAAGTGACTTTTAAAAAATGAATTACTAAACTATCGGTAGACATTAAAATAATTTAAGAAATGGATTAGTAAATTCGACTTTTTATATATATTTTTAAGATCGGAGATTATTTAAAGAAATGAGACTATAACCTTAAGTCTATAAAAAATCAACCACTTAATTGGAGAGAATTGTCTAAGCTGGAAATGAGACAAAATAAATAAATAAAATTTGATTAAAAATTATAGTGTTCAGTTTAGATTGAATTTTTTGTCTTTATTTAGTTCAATTTAAGTTTGAATATTAAATATTTTAATTGAATTCAATTTGATTTTCAAATAAAAAAGTACAAAAAATGGGCAATACTTGAAATGCATCGATTTATATCTTTTTTATTAGTTTTTATATATTTTTTAAATTTTTATAAATTAAAAATAATTATTTTATATTAAAAATTTTAGATACATTAAAAATAATATTAAAAATTAAAAAAATTTAATATAATGAATCTAACTTATTAAAATCGATTCTAATCAGATTTATTCTAATCAGAGAATTGTCTAAGCTGGAAATGAGACAAAATAAATAAATAAAAATTTTAGATTCTTTTTAATTCTATTCTTTATTTTTCAAAATTTTTTAGGTTTTTACATTTTCAATTTTTTAAGTTTTTGTGAATTTTTTTGAATTTTAATAAATTTTTAATTTTATTAAAATTTCCATTTTATTGAATTTTCAAATTTTTTATTTTTTATTAAAATTTTGGGATTTTTTAAAATTTTTAAGTTTTCATTTTTTAATTTTTAAATTATTTCATTTTTTATAATTTATAAAATATTCCAGTTTTTTAAAAAATTTTAAAATTTTTTAGAAAATTATTTTATTTTCTTTCAATACTAACGTGAAAATTGATGATGTGACGTGATTGAATTTTTTTACATTTTTTAGCATTTTATTGGATATTCACATTATATCAATAAATTAATTAATATTGTTAATTCAAGTATTAACGTAGACAAATGAATGAAAGTTTCAGTATTAAATTGATAATTTTATTTTTTTATATACCAAACTGACAACAAATTATAATATAGGAGTTATTTTTATGTGTAACCCTTCCACTAAATATGACAAAGTTTTCAATTTATTTTTATTCCAAAAGAGCATTATTATAATCTTGGCTAAAGGACAAATATGTTCTTGAATTATAATTCAATTATCATTTAATCTTTAATATTTTATAGCAATCAATCAAGTTTTGAATATTTTATTTTAACTCAATTTAACCCTTAATTCAATAGTTATATAAATTTTTAATATTTTATTATAATTAATTAAGTTTTTAATCTTTTATGTTGACTCAATTAAACTTTTAAAAAGACATAATATTATCATGATAAATTTTAATCAATTCACCTTCAAATTATATTTAATTAAACTTGTAAATAGATCTTAGAGAAAAGGATAGAGAAAATATGAATAAAAATAATTTTTTTTTAATTTTCACGTATTAATATCGTTGTCATGTAGTAAACTTTAATTGATTTAATTAATGTCATATTGAATTTTATTTTAGTTTAAAAAAAAAACAATGTTAATTTTTTTAATTAAATAAGAGTTTAATTGTATGTAAATAAATATTAGAAGGGTTGATTGATTGAAATAAAAAAAAATGTTTTGGATATTTTTTAATTATAATTTATATATATATTTTTACTTTTAAGCATGCATATTGAGTATGTAAAAATTTGAAAAAAAATATATAGAATAAAAGAATTTGTTCATACCAACATATTGAACAAATGCAATTAACCAATTTGACGCCTTAATTGCAATCATTAGTTTTTTTTTTTAATATGAAATGCCAAAAGGCTCCAATAATTCTTTTCCCATTTATTTGTCATTTTCCATGAATTTCTATCTTTGTTTTTCGTAATTTGTTTGATCGACAGCTTTCTTTTTTTTTTTTTTTATCAATCCTTCTTCTTTTTACTTCTATTACTGCAATTAAAAGAAAAATAAAGGTATTCATGTTGAATTTTGTCAATTCTATTATGAAAATTAATGAACACTGTGAGTAGTTCAAATATTGAATACAATTTTCTAAAAGGATTAAGATTTTAATTTTTTGAATTTGATTACTATTTTTTTTATAATAAATATTGTTATTTTATTTTAACCTTTTTTTACTTAAATAATTTATAAAAATGATAATAAATGTAATATTATTTAACACATAAACCTAAAAATCAATTAAATGTAAAAGGATCTTACCATTATTAATTATTTTAATATTAAATGTAATAAATAATTAATAAAAATGCATTTGACTTAATTTTATGCTCTATTGGTCTTTAATTTTGTTATGAAATTGATTAAAGGTTCAAATCCTATTATTTATAAACCAATTTTGAATAATAAATAATAAACAATAAACTAAATATAAATTTGTTTAATTATCTATTTAATTTGATTTTGATTTAATTAACAGTTTAATCCGATTTTTAACCGATTTAATAAAAATCTGGTTTAATATATGTTATCGGATCGAACATGCTATCAGTTTTTGATTGAATGGATTTCATCGACTGATGGAGTGCAATTTTTTTTTATTCTTCACTAAAAATATTAGTATAAATAATTAAATAAAATCTTTTTATTCAAAATGTCCAAATATGGATCTAAATTTAGATGATAAGAATTTGAATTGAAATTAATTTAATTTGATTTTTTAAATATTATATAAAATTATGAATAATTAAAATTGATTTGAATTTAAATCTAATTTTTTATAATTCAAATTAAGTCGAGCAAAAATTTGTTATTTAGGATGGATTGATTCGTTTCAACAATTTTTTAAATTTAAATTTTAAAATTTTTTATATATTATTTTAATATAATTTTTAATGAATTTAAAAAAATTAGATATAACATAATTATTTTTATGTTATAAAAATTTTTAAAATATATTAAAATTAATAAAAATATATAATTCGATTTGTTTTAATTTTTTTACGAGTTTTCACTTTTTGATTTAAGATTTAATTTAAAATTAATATATATTTAATAATTTAATTTAAATTAAATTGAATAAAAAAATTAATTCAAATTAAATCAAATAATATGATTTTAAAATAAATTTTAATTTTTTTTTCATCTCCATGCGGAACAATATTCATAATATTTTTTTATATTTCAGATTTTAAAGTGGAAAAGAAAAAGAAATAAAAAAAAAAAAAAAAAACAATTTAAGTGAGGAATAAATAATACATATATTTATTTTATTTTATTTTTAGTTTCTTGTTGGTATCCTTCTCTCCACCATACGCAAATCCATCTGCTCGATCCAGTCCCACAAAAATACACCCTTTTTTTTTCTTGAGTTTTCCTTTCGAATCCGTACGGTTCAGATTGCGAGGGTTTCCGCTGCGGCGGATATTTTTGTTTTCTTTGTTTAAATTCGCCGACTCCTAGGATTTTTTTTCTTTTTTTTTATCTGGATCAGATCTGGGTTCTTTTTTTTGGAAGCGATTTCGTTGTTAAAATTTCGCAAAGATGTTTTGGCGTATGGCCGGATTGTCCACTGCGTCTCCTGTGAGTTTCGCCTACTCATTTTGTTGTTTTTGATCTATACCATACATATGTGTATGCCATTTCTTGTGAATTTGATTGAATTCTGGGGTTTCATGCTTGTGAAATTTCTGTTTTGCTGCTCATAAAATGCAACAAACATAAATAAGGGCATGAAATATTGTGTTTCAATGTCTGGAAATGGTTGAAAGCCTTTGGTATTGGATATTCCTCTTTGTTTGAACAATGGTACAATATAGAGTATGGTTCGTTTTCTCTGGAGTTTTTCAACTTGGTCGAGAGTTCCATTGAAATCAAGTATATAAATCCGGCGGCATTTGCTACGGGATAAAATGAGTACCTTTGTTTTCTTTTGAATCAATGGACGGTTTTTCAAATGTGAATTTCAGTGTTTGTACTGTGGCATCAATGTTTAAAGCATTGCAACTGCCTTTATTGAGGAAGACGTTGTAGGAGAGGATTTGAGGGAAATATTTTGTTTTTGTTTGTTATACATTAGTACATTTTAGATGGGCAAGGAGGCAGAAATAGTTGGATCCTATATTTTTTTCCTCTCAAGTAGGTGAGATTCTGGAGGAAAATCTTCTTAAGCTTGCATTATCTTGTTACTTAAAGCAAAAAAGAATTAGCTGAAATTTTTAGGACTTTGGCCCATCTGCTATACTTTCTCTAGAAGCCTAAGATGACATTCCTGTAATAACCGTTTATCTTTTAAGTTAAACCCTTATTCTATTCCTCAATAATTTTGTCTTACCCTTATTCTATTCCCCAATAAGCCCCATTGTGGAAGGAAGTGATAATCAAGGCTCAAGGACCAAGTCCATGCTTGTTAGTTTACAGTCAACATGTATCTGTACTATTTTCTGTCTGTGTATTCTTTGGAAAGTATGGCTTTTGTTCTTCATTTTTGTTTTCTTTTGACAATTTTCGTTTTTATGATTAAATGCAGGTTGAGCCAATTTTAGATAAGGAAAATTTTACACCGGAGGAGCTTCTTGATGAGGATGAAATCATTCAGGAATGCAAAGCCCTTAATGGGCGGCTTATAAACTTGTACAGTTTCTAGTCTCTACAAATGCTTGCGTTCTTTGTTCTTTCATTTCATAGCACATTAAATTGTTCTATACCATCATGTTTCTATTAGACAAATATGGGCTCTAATGTGATTATATAGTGTTTTTTTACTCTAATCACCATGCAGGATTTTGTTATTAGTGAGACAATGTGTTAATGTTTGATCATAGGTCATGGCTTTAAATGTCAAAGTGTTAGGCAAAGGCTTCTGAAACCCTCATAAAATTTTCATTTTACAGTGTAGTTGAACAATCTAAAGAGGGGCAATAGATGATTATGAAATGATTAATAGTCATATATATGGCATGGTATGTATAAATTCATTCACCTTTTATGTATTTTGGGATCATTATTGATGCTTGTCATTAAAAATGAATGTGAATTCATTAAATCTATGGATACCTATGCCTACATGGTTAATGAGAGCCAATAGATTATAGCTTCTAATTAACATAAAAGGAGTTCAAAATAGGAGGCAAAGAACAAATTTGGAAGCATGGTGAAGTATAATGTGAAATGCTGTTAATTATGTAGAAAGCCAAGAAAGCTATATTGGAAAAAAATCAGCTCAAGATTGATGAAGATCTTTTGCTAAATTATACAAAACTTTCAGTGTTGATACTCAGTTCAGTCCTTTGTTTATATGAAGTTGTTCTGGTTCACTTTGGAAAAAACATTTTCTTAATCAATACTTATATTATGTAAGAATTACTTTAGATTTCTTAACTAATGCTTTGCCTATTAATAACTGGAGCACAAAATGTAATGTAACTAATATATGTACCATAGCCTCTGGCAGTATTGCTACCCAAGTAACCATCTATCTGGAATAAATGCTTTGAATAGATTGTGTAGTTTGGAGGGTTGTGTTTTGTTGTTTGCTTGCTAGTGTACCAAAGGTATTGATAGATAGATCTGGCTTTTTGCCTTCGGTTTTTTTAGAAGATGAACTAAACAAATTAACTGCAGTCACTTCACTTCAACACTCATCGCATGAGGCATGGATTTAAAACAAGTTACTCTGTCAATTAAACATGTTCCACCTAGTAGGCTATATTGTATACTAAGGTGCAAAAGCTCAATAAATAAAACATAATGGCTGAGAGAGGACACTTTTGGGCCTTTCTACTGTAATGGGAGGTTCATTAATGCCATGAAGGTTGATAACACTAGTTAATGCCATGAAGTCTCATGTGATTTCATATTTTTCACTTTTCTTTTCGAATACTAGTGGGATTGCGTACTTCATATGGTTGCATCCTTATTTTACCTAACCCCTCTCTCCTCATTCCAGTTGCTTACCAAAATCCTTTCCATGATACGGGTGGGATTTGTTAATTCCCTGGCTTTTGCAGAATCTGGACAGTTCTAGTTGCTGAGTTGGGCGGGTGAAATATTTGTCCTTAACATGATCTTGACTAATCTATTAATGTTTTGTTTTTCTGTATTTGGCATGAGGGGTGTTAGTATTAACTTGAATTTCATCTATGAAGTGCATTAAAAACAAAACATGATTCTATAATTGCATCCTGATATGCTAAAGGTGGATCCTAATATAGAAATTATCTTTTCTATTTATCTGTTCAATTTCCAAGTGTTTGGCTTCATTTTATATTGACTAGTTAATTTTCTGTCAAATAAACATAAAAAAAAAAAAAAATACAAAGTCATTGTTTAAAAGTCAATTTATGCTAAACAAACAAAGCCTAAGAGTCATCGTGAGCTTTTCTCAAAAAAAAAAAAAATTATAGTGAGCAAGGGATCAGTTGAGTACAGTTCTTTGGAACAATTTTGTTTTGGCTTAAAAGGGGTGCTACTTCTGTGAGAGTATTTAAGCAGGGTTTGTGAGCTCTGATATCTATACTTGGATTTTGACCTTCATGTGTATGTTTCTAAGATCATATAGCGAGTGTGTAATGGATTCATTCATTATGGTTGAAAACTGCAACAGTGTTGTGGGAATATTTAATCGCACATTTCCTTCTTTTGTCGTTTTGGTAGCGTGATTGTCAATCTTCTTGATGATTTAAATACCTTTGCTGCGGGAACCCCGACTCGGAACATGGGGATGCCTTCTTCTGACTGCCAAGAATGGAGTTGCAGCAATTCGGGCCTTGAAGTTCTTGTAGGATAGGACAAGGTTTTGCACCACGTCAGTTTTGACTACACCATCAACTGAGAAATTCAGGGTAAACATATAAGTGTACGTTTACAAGTGAGTTCTTGTTTTCTCTGTTGTTGCTCACTCAAATTTGATAGTATATTATTTTATCAGTTATAGGTTATCTTGCAATTTATAAAAGGGTTCTTGTTAGAATTGCAAGAGAATCTCAATTATTAGCTAAATAGGCCACTGGTCAACAACATTACAGCTTGCATTTGCTGGAATGCCTCTTTTATTTTTCCATTCTTTCAGAGGCAGTGGTCTTTTAATGTTTACTTGCTTAGCATTTTCTTAATATTTATTCAACTTTAGATTTAAATTTTATTTATAAAAGAAATTATATTCCATTATTAGACCCTCTACACTCTAGTTTTACGTTGGAGCCTTGCACAATTTTATTTCAAAATAAATGGACTATTATAAGTGTAATAAAATACCAAAATAATGTTGAATACTTGGGAATACAAATCATCAATCATAGCAGTAATTAAATATCAAAATATCATGATATATTATACAAATTATCAATTATTATATATAATATTTTCTTCTTTTCTTGTAGTGAATTCAATGCATATTGCAGAAAAATAAAATGTGTATGAATTTAGCAATATATGACCCAATTTGGGGTTGAAAAAGATTAATTTGAGAGTAAAAATCTCTGTTAAACATAATGTTGCAGTTGAAAAAAAAATTTCATACAAGAAAATTATATTTGAAAAGTATTATGAGTATTTGATGTGAAAAATTATAATCCAAGTCTTTTTTTGAGTGTAATGACCTGATTTTTTACATTTATAATGATTCGATTTAAAGTGATTAAACTCAAATTTGAGTTGATCAAACCAATTGCTACTTTTATTCATAACAGACTTTAGTGGCAATTCAACTTGATAGAGAAATTTTAGCATAATGATCAGTTACGAGCCGTTGCAAATTCAATAATTTTTAGAAGACAAGTTTAATTCATGAAGAACAAGACAATTAAATTGCACGGACAAGGATTTTGCGACCCATTATTCACAATTATGAACCCAGAAAAAAAAAAATATAGTTGCACACTTGGAGGTTTACCCTAGCAAACGAACTTTAACTGAATACATTAATTAGGTAAAAGTTATTTAAGATTTTTAATTTTTTTATTAAGTGACTTTTAAAAAATGAATTACTAAACTATCGGTAGACATTAAAATAATTTAAGAAATGGATTAGTAAATTCGATTTTTTTTATATCTATATTTTTAAGATCGGAGAGCATTAAAAGAATTGAGATTAAAACCTTAAGCGCGAACTGTCTAAGCTAGAAATGAGAAAAATATTAAAAAAATTTGACTAGAAATTATAGAGTTTAATTTAGATTGAATTTTTTTTATTTAGTTCAACCTAAGTTTGGATATTAAATATTTTAATTAAGTTCAATTTGGTTTTTTAATCAAAAAGTAAAAAAAAATTGAAAATATAAAAAATGCATCGAATTATATCTTATTTATTAGTTCTTTATATATTTTAAATTTTTATAAAATAAAAATAACTATTTTATATTAAAAATTTTAAAAAATATTAAAAATAATATTAAAATTAAAAAATTTTAACATAATGAACCAAATCCATAAAAATCGGTTCAAATAAAATTTATTTAAAAAGATGTCAATTCAAATTCAGATTGATCTTAAAAACAATTATAACACTATAATTAATTGAAATAATCAAAATTAAATCAAATCGAATTTTATCACCCCCAATAAATTTGACTATTTATGTCAAAATTAATACGTAACCAAAAAAAACCCATTGCCTACAATTCTATTTGGGCTGAAATTAGATGGGTTATGGGTTTGGAATTAAATCCAACCCAAAAATTAAAATAAACCCCAGAACTTTGGGTTGATGTAAGCTTGATAAAATGACTTGCCAAACTTAGTCTGAAACCGGAAACATAGTATAATTGCATGTTATACTTTTTTTTAGGAAAATTATATTACAAAAAAAAGACAAATCAACAGCATTACTTAACCGGAAACATAGTATAATTACATGGTTTTATAACCCATGAAACATATTTTAAAATAAAAGGTCAAACTGACCTTAACGATTTATAGGACCTGGGCTTAAACAGGCAATCTTCCATTCTGAGCACCGCGACCAAGAACATCAATCAGCATGGCTGAAGTAGATGAAAGTGTGCGATAAATCTGACTGGTCTTTTGGTAAGCGTCATATATTAGCTTCGCAGTGTAAAGATTCCAAATGAAAAAGATTACCCACCCCAGGGCTGGAGAAATTACGAATACAAGCAAAACCGTCGCTAGGCTGCCGGAAAGAATGTTGATTTTGCTAATGACAACATGGTGAAATGAGTTGGTGCCGGTGTGAAGCTTAGCTTCGATTGCCCCAGAGACAGCGTCAACAAGTGTGGTTGCTATGAAAATCGATATGAGAGCACTGTGGGTTTCAAATAACGGAGGCGCAATGTTCATGGAATGATGCACCAGTCCGATGACGGCGAGTAACGTGGCAATCAGAAAGGTCAGTATGGCATGCCTATGATTAGTTGCTGTGCTCGCACTGTTCCTGCAACAAGGAGAAATGCATTATTTTAGTTGAACCAACCTATAAAGTTAGAAGAAAAAGAAAGAAAGGAGTAATTTTGACCTTAACTCAGAATACATTTTGCTGCAGCTTTTAGAGTGGTCGATTTTCCTGTCTGTAAGTGTTGATTAAATGTTCTTCTTATATAGTGACAGATATAACTTGGACATTGACCCAAACAAAATAAACAAAATCTTACGTGGTAGGTTTTTATTAGTGATAGAAAGGACAAAGAAGGACAGGAGCATCGGATTCGAGATGGATTTTGTTCCTATTAAACCCAACCTGATTTAATGCTTTTGATAAATTTGAACTTAATTTTATTAAAAAAATTTTTTATTTTTTTATATTCAATCCGATCCCAATCTGATACTATATAAATCATATCTGATTCGATTCGAAATTAATAAAATATTATTTTTTAAATATAAATATTTAAAAATATAATTATATAAATATATATAAATAAAAAATTAAAAAAAAATTAATTAAAAATTTTTATTTTTATATATATCGGATCGAATTTATCTAAAACTCAATCTCGATTTGATTTTGATTTTTTTTTTCATGTCATCTTATTCGATCCTACTCTACATTCAATTTTTAAGAAAAAATAATCGATCCTAAAAGATCCGATCAAAACCCGTCGGGTCAAGCTATCGCATTCCATCAGTTTCAAGGGTCTGAAACTAAACGCGACTTTGAGACGTGGATAAATGTTGCGTAACTTGTTTTATAAATGAAATGCCAAAGGGTCCCACGATTCTTTTCCCCTTTTGATATTTTGCATGAATTTTATCTTTTTTTTTTTCGTAATTTGTTTGATTAATAGTTTTTTTTAATCAATCCTTCCTCTTCTTACTTCTATTACTGCAATTAAAATAAATAGAGGTGATTCACGTTGAATTTTCTCAAAACTTAATGAATACAGTGAGTATTTCAAATATTGAATACAAATTTTTAAAAGGTTTTAGATTTTAAGTTTTTGAATTTGATTACTATTTTTTATAATAAATATTGTTATTTGATTTTAACTCTTTTTTCTGTCTAAATTTCACTATTTATGTCTAAATTATAACCAGATTGCAACAAGAAGTGTCTACTGACATAGATAGTCTTCATCTTATTTTCTCACTGATTATAGGGTAAAAAAGCTTCAACGAATCGTAGGATGGTTGGCTGGTTCTATATTACAAACAACAAGCAGGTGACAGTAACAAGTGTGAAAGGGGCTGATGTGAGCTTAATAAATGACATGCCGAATTTGGTATGAAACTTAAACTACTTACTAGTTTTTATCTTTGTTTTTTTTTTTTTTGGAAAGAGAGAATTTTTAATGGAATGGAGCTAATTAAGATTTCAAAAAATAAAACTCAAGTTATGATAATATTAATTCTGTAATTTAATTTGTAATAGGGTTTAAATTTTTCTACAAAATTAATTATAAGAAAATTTGTATTATTTCACATTATTTTTATTTTCTATTGATTTCATTTTTTAATTATAATTATAAAAAATATCTTTTTTATTTTAATTATTATTTTCACCTAAAAATTTAGATTTAATTTAATAGCATTGACTATTTAATTTTTTATTTATTAAAAATATGCAAAGTATTATCAAATAGTATATTCGTTTACCCAGATGTCAATCTTGATCATCCTTAATTATATTACAAACTTCCATAATTATTTTTAGGAAAATTATATTACAGAAAAACACAGGCTTATTGATGCATGAGGATGCAAAACTGCTGATGGATACTCCTGATAAATTCCAACAAAAATTTTTTTTAACATTATTGATGACTTTCATTTCCGCATGACAACGTATCAAATGCATAAACAAATTCGGTTATACCCAAAAAAAAAAGGTTAAAATTTTGAAGTCAAAGTGTTCGTGTAATAATTAATTAAAAAATGCAGGAGGAAATTTAGTTTAATCGATTAAGTAACTAAGGAAAATATAAAGCAAATGAAGGGATAATAGTTTCATTTAGGCAGGAGTAAAATTTTTTTCATTTGGATGGGCAACTAAAATCTGATATTACTTCCAGAATAAGAAAGAATACGTCAAACTGAAAGCAATAGATTTGGATTGACTTGACCAACAGTAAGTATGAAAGTTTCTTAAAAATATATATAAATTAATATTATTTAATTATTTAAATATTTAATAAATGTGTAAATTAATAATAATATAATTAAAATATCAAAATATAATAAAATTAAAAATCTCAAAACATATAATAATATGTGAAAAAAAATAAAATATCCAAAAAATTTATATATAAATAATATTATTTAGTACACGAACAAAATATTAAATTAAAAATTAAAAGTTTTATCACTTTAAATTAATTTTTCAATTTGTATCATTTTCATCATGTGTAATTATTTTTGTTCATATGTAAGTTCGTATAATTTTAAGATAAATTTAAATAATATATATGATAACTTACTGGTATAGATATTTTTTGCAAGAGTTTTAATAATATCTTGATCTTTAACACCAATAAAATTTGTTCAATTAATTTTTATATTTATTTTAAATTTTAAATTTGATGCAAAATTTTGTTATTGTAAAAACTGAAATGAAATAATTTTAGATTTTAAGTAATAATATTAAATATTAAACAATTATTTTAAAAATTTATTGTACAAAAGTTTTTAATGAAAAAGCGTCAATTCCATTCACAGGATTTTATAATTAATTTCAAAAGTAAAAGAATTTGCTTTTTAGCTTTTACTACATATGTTTTGCTTACAAAAAAAAAAAAAAAAACCAAAAATACTATAAAATAATTAAATTATAAAAACTTAAATTCAAATAAATAAATATTATTTTATTTTTATATAAAACAATTACGT